TATATATATATATATATAAATATACACACATACATGTATATATTAAGGGAAAATATGTTAGATTTATATATAAAATATTTATATTTATATATAAATTATATACAAGTGTTTACATGCAAATACATACAATACAAAACAAACATTTTTTTAAATATATACAGTACATATATGTGTGTGTATTTATATATACATAATAAATATACACAGTACACACATATATAGTATGTAAACATAAACTTTTATTTTGAATCGATTAATCACGATTAATCGTTTCGCAGCCCTAACTTTGATTAAAAATTACAAGCTCACAAAAACTGTTAAAAATTGAACACATTTATGGATGAATCTTTCACAATAAGATGACCAAGATAAATGTAGAAAACTGATACGGTGAATGTCCACTCCATGTCGACTTTTAAAAATCAAACAGTCAATTCAGTGCATCAGTATTATTGTGAATGCAACAAGGATGTAGTATGGGTAGATTCCAAATGGAAAACATTCAGAATTGTCAATGAAGATGCCAAGCATCAAGTGTAATGTGGGTGTTACCAGTCTCTGCCAGGCTGCACACGCCAGGAACAGCAGGACTGTGTCTGGGGGAACGTCGCAGGTTTGGAGCACTGCAGGAACGCTGACGACTGCCCTCTTTAGGAGTCCTCAAACTGAGTGAGGAACACATGCACGTAGACGTTTGAGATTGTATAAACATTTGGTGAAGGTTTATGCTTTGTTTAGAAACACACATACACGCACACCTCTCATCAGCACTGTGTTCCCTTTGTGTTCTCCCTTTCTTGCGTGAAGTCTTCCTCTCCTCATCTTCATCATACTGGAATGCAGCATTACGACCCCAGGCTTGACATCCGACCCCTGGGGTCACTGTCAGCATAGGATATTCTATATTAGGGTCCTGACCGTATACAGACCCAAACATTCACAATAATTTAAACAAAATCAATCAGACGCATAAACACACTTACACTGGATCGCTCGGAGGCGTGGCAAAACAGGGGGGCTGTTTGGAGGGGTGGAGTTACTGCCCAGGAGGCTCCGCCTTCTGTCCAAAGACGGAGAAGCTTGAACTGTAATCTTATGCTGGAAATCTGAAACACAAACATACTATTATATAAACAAAAATTCACATTATATACACTTGCATATCGGCAATCCCACAATGCATTGTGAAAAACACCAAGATAACAGACAAAATGTGAGTTGAATCTTGTTCGCTTCACATGAGTAGTGCGGTTTGTATGATGCATTCATTTAATACCATGAAATACTAACCAGAAGGCAGGCTGATGCGGTTCCCATCACGCAGTTTAAGTCGACTGCGCCGAAACTTTCCATGACGGTTTTGAACTCGTGGTTTCTCCTGGTACAGCTGGTGAATGATGACATTTAGCTCTCGCTCCAGAATGTGAATTTCTCTCTCCGCCAATTCCTGCTCCCGCCGCCGCAAAGCCTCTTCCTGATACTTCTGCTGTACAGCTGCACGACTCAGTTCCTCCTCCCAGGATCTCAACTCCTACAGCAAGAAAGAGAACTTGATCGATTCAACTTACTCATCATTCTGCTCTATGTAGTGTGTATAATCTGGCACACATCCATTAAGGAGTTTAATGAGCATTATGTCATACTGATTTTTGCACCACCACAGTAGTGAGATTAACAGAGATTAGACTGCAAATAAAATGTTCTGACTGCAATGTTCTGGTACTTTTTTCTGGTTAATATGTTTCAAGTTGAAAATTGATTTTTTTTTAGTTTATTTAACTTGTACTTTTACTTAGCAAGTGTGTGTGAATTACTTATATATCGCTGTTTCTACAAAAACATTAAGCAGCACAGGAATAAATTACATTTTGAAAAACGATTGTGCTAATGTTGTGAAAATATTTCAAAATATCACTGTTTTTACTGTATTTGTGACCAAATAAATGCAGCCAAAAAAATAAAAAAACTTTCCAACCCAAACTTTTAATTAGAATATGTATCTATTTATATATTGAGGCTTTGAGGCATAGAGTTTGGGTTTGGATTAGTCAGTGGTATCTATGTATTTTATAGCTTTATGATAAAATGTCTATGGTATGTCCTCATTTAGACAGCTTTTGAAAGCATCATGTAAACCTTCTCTTTGGCTCTGAGCTGATCGAACATCTCCTGAACCTCCAGCTTCCAGTCATCCTGCAGGGATTGGAAGGATTCTGCCGGCATTTCAAAGAAGCCTGACTCCTCGATAGCCGTCAGCTGGTCTAGTATACTGGTGAAGGGGGGTCGTGCATGAGGGTCCACATTCCAACAGTCTACAGCAGGTGAGAGAAACAAACACCACAGACGGTCAGCTGAAAAGAATGCCAGCTGAGCACTCAGAGATGGGGTGCGGGTGGGACTATGAGCCTTTTGATTAGTGAATCTATTTTCATTTCTATATATCATCTACAAACTCATTTAATTAAACAGAAAATTCAAACAAAAATGAAAATTCTGTCATCATTTACTGTATGACTTTTTTCCTCAGACGAACACAAAATTGAGAATGCTCTGATTTATCACAATGCTTTCTATTTTACCATCTGTATTATTATGGAGGTTACCAGTAGATTTTAAGGTAAAAAACAGATTTTGGCACTTCATGTAGATAGGAATGTTAACAGTATGTCATATAACATACATTTATTTTTAAGTTGTAGTATATACATGCATCTCAATACTAGAAACAATGTTACAGTACTTTTTATGATGAATATCTGGCAACCACAGCTGCCAGGTTTTGATACTTATGTTATGATTTGTCATTTTTGGAGGGTGAGTAAATGATGGCAAGAATTTAGTTACACACAGTTCTTAAGTTAATAAGTTGCAGTAGAACTGCTGTATATGAGATTCATGCCTTCCATCAGCCGGGCAAATGGCTCAGGACAGGTGGAGGGGATCGGCAGGGACAGTTTGTTCATGGCCACACCATAAGCTACCGCCAGTCCATCTATGCCACGAAATGGCACCTCTCCCGTCAACAGCTCCCACAGTAAAACTCCATAACTGAGAGAAAGACACACACACACACAGAGAGTTTGAAGTTTAAACATTACTACTAACATAACAAGCTGTCACCAACATTTTTTGTGCAAGGACTTGCAGAATCCTATAAAACAGAAACACTATAAAATTTATGACAGCTATTGTGTTCCAAAGTAAACCAAAAAAAAAATCACTTTATTAACATTTCAAAGTGTCTCTTTGTAGTGTCATATTCTTTTAAATGTAAAATACATGCTTCAGTGGCCAACTGGGCAAAAAATGTTGCCTTGCTGACAGTCTGACAGAAACCTAACAGAAAAGAAGGAAAGACATCAGCAAATGTTTGGCACAAATCCTTTAAAAATACTATAAATGGTCAATATTACTGTAGATTTCAAGCTCTAGTTACAGTAGCAGTGAATCAAACGGAGTACAATCAACTGATTCTGCAGCCATACACACACAAAATAAACACATCAAAGTATCCACAAAGCTTTGACATTTTGTGAAGTTCTCTTTACTATCCATCCCGCCCCTTCTGTACTCTGTAATCAGGACTTGTGGTGAGAAGCAAAATTTAGACACTAATAGCTAAGCACAGCACAGCACAGCACCAGACAACACACAGACCAGCCTCAGAAACTGGGCTAATGACACTATTTGTTTGTTACCGTGGTAACCCAAACCTTCATTGGACACTGCCATCTGTGACCTATAGTTTGGCCAACAAAACTGTACTATGGCTGTACAATTTTGTGCTACAACTATATGATTTGTTCCCACGATTATGTATTGTGTATCCCATTATGACCTTAATTAAATGACTTCTGTTCAGTATAGTATTTAGTATCTATATTCATTATATATATATATATATATATATATATATATATATATAGAGAGAGAGAGAGCGAGAGAGAGAGAGAGAGAGAGAGAGAGAACAAAAATATATAATTTTTATTTTTTCAAATTTTTATGTAGGGTTTTTTTTATTATTTCTCGTGATTTTTATTTTATTCACATTAAATTCTGGATATTTTTTATGAAAATGAGCATATTTTTATACATTTTTTCACCAGAAAAAACAAAGAAAGACACAATTTCTGCATATGTATACTCTAAACATGATGATCCATCAGGACCTAGGTCACTGAGTGTCTCTGATGCCATCTGGTGGGGAAA